TTCAGTTTGTAGACACGAGCTACAGTTAACTATCACAAAACTCCAGAGGGAACATTCTTAGGATTCACCTTTATAAATTAGACTGTGGACCCACGCAGAAGTTAACGATTTCTAATACGTTGCAAAGGAGGGTAATGTTATGCGATTATCGTTATGACGAATGAATTTTCACCATTTATATGAATAAATGGAAAAATAAAATGTAATCCGTGCAAAGAGCCCAAAAGTATGATAAAAAAAATTTTTTTTACACATGAAATGTTAATTTTAATACACACAAACTGAAAAAAGGCATGCCACAATTAAATGGACACTTACTTTTATTGAAGATATGTGATGAATTGATGGAGATGGAGGTGGGGGGGGGGTGAAGAGCATTATCTTCTTACTGTCGTTTAGAAGGGGGATCCCTTTTCCATTACGACGAGAGGTAGCAAGTCTTTTTCGGGGTACTACCCTTCTTCTTTTAATTGCAATAGGACCAGCTTCTGAGTCAATGGGGACCTCTGTCGGCACAACCAAATCTGTCATTAAGAGCTCTGTATCTCCTTTCCTTTACGATTTGTCTAATGGGCCACAACATTTGTACATTGAAATAGTCAACAGCACGGCCTTGCACACAGCTTTGTAGTCAGGGTGCATTTTCTTCTATAAAGGTTTGCAGTTTCCATACCCACTGTGCACACATTTCCTTAATCTTCTGAAGTAGGCACAATGGATTCACAACTGAATAGGCTTCTCAGGGTTAGCCCCAACCCTTTCAAAATTCTTTCCTTAATTTCCATATAATTTCTACCTTTTACCACAGGGGTTGGCACTTGAAGCTTTCTTGGGGCCCCGATGGTCACTTAATTTTCCAGAAACAGCACCGAAAAACACGGGAATATTTAGAAATATTCGAGTGTAATGCTTGGATGCTTACCGCGGAGGCTGGGCTGGTAAACAAATTCCACACGGCAGGATAACATTGTGAGCGCGTATCTCGGCTAGAAAATCGGTTGTAAGCGGGTTTTTTATAGCGGTATGTGAGGCAAATTTTTGCCAATTAAATTAAGCGGCTTAATGCGAAATAATCGCTATGTGTTTGCCACGTTATGCGGGGGTCCACGTACTCAATTTTCAAACGCGTGTACAAACAAAATTTCCAAAAAAAAAAAATCAAGGAACGTGGCATTTACTATCGAAGATACGGTTATATGTTCCAGTCAGCCCTCTGGCCCCTATATCACTAGTTATTTACTCTATCTCACATATGCGAATTTGTGCATGGGGCTCCAACAACAATATATCCATCTCAGACCATTAATTACCCAACAAAAGGCTGTGGCAGTCTGAATAATGATAAATTCCCACTACAGGCACACACTCCACCAATATTCAAAACCTCTAAATCTACTCTCCATACAAACACATCCATCTTATTACTGCACACTATCTACGTACAATAGAACACTTAACATTGATATAAATACTCTCCCTCAAACATCTCCCTTACCAACTCAACAGAACACTGACCCTAACACAAGGCACAGATCATCTTTGATGTTCTGTGTCCAATCTCACGATATGCAAAAACTCAATGCACATAAAAGCCCCTAAAATCTGGAAATTTCATTACCTGTGAATATAAAAGAAACACTTTATAAATTCAAAATTAGTCTCAAAAATCATCTTACTTAACCCACAACAAATAAATACTGAATAATTGTACAGTGGAACCTCAAAAACTCGAACGTTTCGAAAATAGGACCATTTTTTTCGGACAACTGTCCCTATTATCGAACGTCCCCTTATTTTTGACCGTCCGGGTACGGGACCTGTCTGCCGCCGCTCTGTCCGCGTCCACCGCGCAGTGCGTGAGCAGATCTAGCTTTTGTTTATGCTTGAGTGAACACTAACCCTGCACTCTCATTCATGCTTATGATTATTCTCATTGTGTTAGTGATTGTGGTCTGTGAAATAGGCTGCATGGGCCACCAAAGAAATTGCTTGTGGTACCTGTGGCTTAATTAGAAAGTGAGTAATAACCATAGATGCTGAAGCGAATATTGCAGAGTATGAGGAGTGGCGTGTCGTGAGACCTTGTTGAGCTTGCCCAGGATGTATTTGAAAAACAAGTGACCATCGTTCTATCCTGCAAAGAAAAGAAACAAATCAAGGAAGCTGATGTTGCTAAGGTGTTAATTTGTAACCAAAAAAAAAGGACTCTCAAAAGTTGAAGAGGTTGAGAAGGTTGTTGCTGGTAGTGATCAAGGATAGAGAGATTGAGGTGATAGTGTTTCAGAGACGATTATGCGAAAAGGCAAGGAAGTTGCATGCGATCTGGTACAGAAAACTCCTGGAAACTGTGCTCGATAGTGAATTTAAGGCCAGCTGAGGGCTGGGTTTGGACAGATTGATAGAAGAGTATGTGGCATACACAAGGTTGTATGGGTCTTGGTGTAGGACAGCCATGTTCAGACAATGCGGACCTAACGGGCGCTGAGAAGTTTGTACAGGGGGGAGATTCTAAGGGGGTACATAGACAGTGACAGAATTGAAACACTGTACGCAAGTGTTTAATTGTGGCAAAAACAGGCATTGTTTGGAAGAAAATGCTCTCAAAAAAGGACCTTCAATCACACAGGAGGAAAAGGCAACTGCCATGAAAAAGCGCCTATGAAAGACAGGCTTACTCTTTTATTCTGTGCTTATGCTAGTGGGTTGAATTTTAAAGTGAAGCGGTTTTACTTGTGTGTTATTCATTCAGAATAACCCAGTGTGTTTAGAGAAATACAATGCTCTTTAAGAACAAGTTATGCTGTGTTGTGGGAGGAAAAGTAAATCATAAGGCATCGGGATCACAAGACATTTTTCAAAGAGGAGGTGGTTCTATGAAGTGTTTGGCCCCAGTGTGATAAATACCTCCAGAGGAAAAGAAATTGCATACTCAAGTGCTTCCTGTTATGGACTTGCTCCTGATCATTCTCCAAATTACTTTAGACCTTTGTACTAAGGACTTCAGTTTTTTAAACGTTGACAGTTCGTGCCTCCTACACACCACCTCCTCTCATCCTAGCCCCGGTGGCCCTCGGTGGACATAAGCTCCCGACTTTCACTACACCGGAGGGCCAGGGTGCGATTCCCGGAGGGTGGAATCATCGACAATCGTTTCCTTACAACTGTTGTCCTGTTCACCTAGCAGAATTAGGTTACCTGGTGTTAGTGAGCACCCGGTGTGGGGTCCATCCCTGGGGGGACAAGATTACCCTTTGTGGGTAGACAGCCTCTCCGAAACTCGTTCTCAGGGAGTTGGCCAATTTTAAAAAAAAAAAAATTATCTTTCTATGAAAAGATCTAGAGCAATCTTGTTTTCCCCCTGATCAAAAGACACCAAAAGTTTTGAAATTTGATAGAAAACTTAGGAATTAATGCTCTCGCAAAAGTTAGCGGTTAGGCGATGTATACGGATCGGCGATTTTGCACCCACCTTTTGAGCCCCATTTTCGGCCAATTTCACTGTACTAGCTTCGACAAAAAACATGATATTTTCGCTAGTAGAACTCCATTTTTTCTATTCGAATGGGCTACAAGAAACCACCACATTATAAATTCATGACTATCAGGTAAGTGGTCAGAATTTAGCAATTTTGCCAATTTTCACACAAATTTCAAAAAAATGCCAATTTCCGAATAGGGTCCAGAATAAACAAGAAAGACATTCCTGGCACATAAAATGACATTTCCTCTGTCATTAGTCACGTCTCAAAGGCTCGCGATTTAATATTCTTTTGCATTTCCAGACTTGAATTTTTTATTCTCACAAAAAATCATTAGATCTATAACTGTTATGCAAGACTAATGCCATTAATGTAAAAAATGGATAAATTATTAATTGGTGCACTTGTATAAGTACTATTAGAACTCAATCAGTTGACGTGTGTTGCACGGATAGGCCGATTGTTTACTTTTGAAGTTTGGTATAAAAATCGAACATTTTGCTACTTTGAGCTCAATTTCAAGGCACTCCTTTTTATTGTAAAACCAGTCAAAATCATCTCTTTCAATTTCTGTAAAATGTCTTCCCATTCTATAAAATGAGGACCTAGAAACTAGAATTCAACCAATTAATACCATACGAAAATACACTGCAAAGTCAGACTGATTTATCTAAAAATTGGTTTCTCAAAGTTTTTTTTTTATCTCAATTATGCACTGTCGTGCTGCAGGAATTTTTTTTTAGAATGTGACACTGACCACATTGGCCAATTCTTTTATGAGGCCTCCCAGTTTCTCCCACTAGATTAAGATTTGTAGGCCGCTAGGAATTTATGATCTACTAGGACGTCAAAAACCCTACGCGGTAAAACGTACGAGTACGACCAAACACTCAAGGGTTAGGACCCCATGGTAGCAAGGTTAGGACTGTCCTCAGATGAACGCACTGGACCTTTCTTGGGTGGGTTTATCCTGGGTCGGTAGAACCTCCTCCGGGACAGTGGTTAAAAATCCCTCGGAACGATATTCTTATATTATTCTTACCAGCCAGGTCGATTGTTCTGTAACTTAAAAAAACTCTACACAAAAGCAGTGTTTGAAAGTGCTTTTGAAGGGACCACAGACACTTAAGTTTACCCTACGAGAGCTTCTGGAGGAGTAACATCAACATCTACAACTCCCTAAGATTATAGGTTAGGCTTGGGAGGGAAGTGACTTCCAGGACTTTGAACTCTGTTGGGACAATTGTGGCCAGATTGTGCCAAAAGAGGGATTTTGAAGGGTTTTTTGAGGCTGTCCTGGACCCCATAGCTCACCCTATCGCCTGTTGTGGACTTCTTTTGTGGGCCATTGGGAACACCTGGGGTTGGAGGTGAGTGAGTGAAGTATGGAAGAGTGAGTTGGTATGGAGGACCACAGGGGAAGAGCTGACCACTGAAGAGCCTGCAAGAGACAAGAGATTAATCTGGAGCAGTATCAGGACCACAGTGGGATTGCTTAGAGAGGAGGAAAGAGGGAGTGGGATGAGGTCTGCTTCTTCAAAGATTAAGGTTTGTGCCATGCAGAATGATGTCCATGTTTGTGCAGAATTACCAACCCTGAGCAGCTGGAAACAGCCATCTTGCAACAAAGAGTTCAGTGACAGAAACCCATGTCCCATTTTAGGGGAAATGTTAGATGGTGCAGAAAACAGGACTTGTGGACAGATATTTGTGAGACAGGGTCAGTTGATATCAAGCTGGTCCTAGTGGCTCATTAAACAGACAGAGAAGGAAGTACCCCAGGAGAGGGCTTTACCTGAAGTCCTCATGGAGGGGGGATTCTCCTTCCAAACCACTAACCCCAACTTCCTCTGCTCCTCATCCCTATCTTCCAGACGCAATCACCATTCTTCAATTAAGGTAAGTAAAATGTTTTTTATGTGTTACTTTACATAATTAAAAAAACTATAGTATGTGTTGTATGTAAACTATATTAATCTCTCTAAAATGTATTTTTTGTGTGAATATTTTTGGTGTTTCTGCGATCGGATTAAAATTGTTATTTACCATTATTTCTTATGGGAATATTGCTTTGAAATGTCAGGACTTTTCGAATTTAGAACTAGGCTCCTGGAGGATATTATTAAGTTCGATTTTTGATGGTTCCACTGTACTAATAAATTGCTATTCTCATAAATGTTTTCATTATTGTATCTCATAAATGTCTAAACTGTGACCAATCAGACTTCTTTTTTTTAAATACATTACCCTAACAGAATACTCCATTCTGTGTATTGCACAGCATCACAGTAAATGACCATATTCACGTTTTTGTAATTAAACTCATTTGTGCTAAATTGTCTATCAGTTTACAATAATGTTTTTACCACAGAATATATTCTTGCTTAGTTAAGATTATGTTATTTTTAAGCCTGCCCATAATGCTCTGCATACAAGTAGGCTTAGGCTTGTTGCACTTTAATAGATGTATTCCTTGTATCTTATCTGTTCATGTTCAAATTAATAAATAAATAAATGTTAAACACTTTCCTTATCCAGCTTGAGTAAAAAAGTGAAAAAGAAAGACCTGTTCTATGTTCCCATTCCCAGCAAATAACTGGATGTAGAAAACTGGCAGGGAAGATGACGTATTCCCTTGAGATTTATTAAAATTTCTGATATATCATTGGAATTAGCCAAATAAGAACACTGCAAATTGACCGAGGTTCCCAATGTTCATGCAATGTAATTACAGTGGAACTCAGTTTTTCTGTAATTCGTTCCATGAAGTCTCGTGATACTAAAAGCAATATTTCCATAAGAAATAATGTAAATCCAATTAAACTCGTTCCAGAAACCTTAAAAAGTATTAACAAAAATCCTTTTTTAGAGATAAAGTTTTTACATACAGAAAACAATGTGAAATGTAAAGGCCTAATGAGATGGTTAAATGAAATTTAAACATAACTTTTCCTTTATTGAAGACTATTGTTGGCGTTTGGAAGACCGGCGAGGAGGGGAGAGGGAGGTGGGGGTAATGTTTGGAGTGGGAATCCCCTTCATATTGGACTTCAGGGTATCAAGTCCTATCCGGGGTGAATTCCACTTTTTGTCACTTTTTTACTGAGCACTAGAACCAGCTTGAGTCTACTGGTCCCTGTACGCAACAAATCAAATCTTTCCGGATTGAGGTCTTGTTTGGACATATCTCATTAATGATTTGCCTAATTTGGGACAAAGATTGTCCATTGGAAATCATGTTGATCGGACGTCAGCTTGCAACGGCTTTGTTCTAGGGTGATATTTCTCACAAACTTTTTGAAACTCTCTCCATTTGCTACCCATGTCTTTAATCACTGAAGAAGGCACATTCCCCCCTCTCTTCCCTCTCCTCTGAAAGCAATTTCCTCAGCAACAGCGTTTCTGTTGCTGTTCCAGTTGAAGGTGTTTGCATCTCTTCCTGTGGTAGTCCACCAAATCTTCCCACATGTTCATGGCCACTTCACATTCCCCCCCACGGACTGTATCAAAGCCTCAATAGATTCCACATACAGGACGTAGGGTTGTCAGGGTCAGCTTTCAAACACTTCAAAATCTTCTTTGGATACATTCTGGCCACCAATTTTCTTTATCAAAAGGGCTGGCACCTCAGAACTTTATTTGGCCACCATGGCTGCCTTAATTAAGGCAGTTGCACTCGCTATAAAACACAAAAAACAATGGATTATTAAAAATGTTTCATATGAAAGGCAAAGGGTAATGTGAAATTGTCAAGAGACAAAGCCAGTCTGACTCAGGATACGTGCGCTCGGGGATGCTTTGTGTGGGCAGGTAGGCGGGAACGTTCGGATACAGCAAGGACGAAAACAGATAGTGGTTGAACGAAAAACTGGGGACAAAAATTGACAAACAACGATTTAGCTATAACCGATAAAATCGATATGAAAACCAACGGGCAGACGAAAAAGAGAAGGTTCCACTGTTAGGATTTCCGTTTAAACCTTTCCGGGTACGTTCCGTAGATTACGGATTTACGTTTCAGGGTCCAAAACGTAGTCATACGTTAATAGAGCTCAGCTCACACTCGGATAAACTGTGGGTTGGTACATTTGGGACTAGATTATTTGGGGGAAAAAGAGAATACAATCTTGTGGTATGTGTGCACAACATAAAACAGATCCTGCAGCACACTGTGTATAATGAGAGAAAAAAAAAAAAACTGAATCATGATTTTACGATTAAAAATCAGGACTTTGCAGTGTTTTTTCGTAATGTTTTTATAGTTGTATTGCATTTTCTTGGTCTCATGTGATAGAATGGAGACATTATTACAGAAAATAGAGATGATTTTGATTGAGTTTTTCAGCATGGAAATGGCTTGAAACTGAGGTTAAAGTTGCAGTAAAGTTAATTTTTTGCCGGATATTACAAGGATGTAACAAATTGATCACACGTCTAATACACACAATGCTGGTGAGGTCTAATATACATCACAAATAATGGTGATCATTTTATACTCATTTTCCAATATGTGCCATAACAGTAAATCTATTTTGGTTGTGAATAAAAAATTCGTTATGTGAATAAAATATCAAAATGATTTATTTGATAAAGCCTCAAAAGTAACTTATAACAGAGGAAATGTTGTATTAGTTTAGTTCCAGGAATAACCATACATTGTTTATTCTTGACCATATTTTGAAATTGAATATTTTGAAACTTTTTGATAAATTGGCGCCAATTAACAATTTCCGATCAATTTAATTTGTAGTTGCAAACATGTTTGACTTGCGATTTCTGTGCTCAATCGATAGAATAGAAGTAATAATAGTGAAATAGCTAAGACATTGGTGACTGGAATAATCGTAATTGGCCTAAAATGGGAGTCAAGTCGGCAAAATCGCCCCGATTCGTAAATATCGCTCGCACTATCAAAATTCGTGAGAGCATATTTTCGTCATATTTTCAATCATCTTTCGTTACTTGCTCGTTTTATACCTTCACAAAAGGATTCTCTATACCATTTCATAAGAAATTTTTTTTTTTTTTTTTTAAATTCTTGGACACTGGGGCACCACTTCAGATTTGGGCCTTGGACGCTGAAGGGGTTAAATACATAGTGTACTTTTTTTTCCAGTGTGGTTTGAATAGCGATATTCATTTTTTATTCAACTTACTAAAGAATACTTCTGATTGGCTTCATAATGTTATTGACAGTGCATTCTATAAGATGGATGATACCTCATGAGTTTAGTCCAAATAGGTGCAGTTTTGAAATTTTATTTAAATAGTTTTAAAAAACTTAGAACTCTTGTAAATGTCAAATTACTGGAGAATGCCTTTTCTGATCTGCTTCAAACTTTTTACCATTACGTATTTGGTTTTATTAAAAAACTTGTCACTCAGAGCTTCTAAATTTCAATTTGCTAAATTGTTTCTCTGTATAATAATTAATGAATGCCTCATCTGATCAGCTTTAAATCCTTATGCTGGTGCATCTTAATAGGAAGTATTTTTATATTAATTTTGGGCTGTGTGCATGCCACTTTGCTAATTTTTTCCAGTTTTAAAATATTTTTCTTGCAGGATTGTGGAGTTTTAACCTTTGAGGGTTCACAGGCCCTCTCCGAACTAGTTCTCAGGGTCGGCCAAATTTAAAAAAAAAAAAAAAAAAAAAAAAAATTATTTTCTATTATGAAAGATAGAGAATCTTTTCCCGATCATAAAGATACCAAAAAGTTTGAAATTTTGACAGAAACTTATGGAAATATGGCTCGCAAAGTTAGAGGTCTCGGCGATTGTTTACGCATCGGCGATTTTTTGCCCCCCCCAATTGAGCCCCATTTTCGGCCAATTCACTGTACTACGTCGACAAAATACATGAATATTTCGCTAGAAACTCCATTTTTTCTATCGAATGGGTGCAAGAAACCACCATTTATGATTCAACGATACGTCAGTGGTCAGAACTTTTGCAATTTTGCCAATTTCACACCAAATTTCAAAGATGCCAATTTCCGAATTACGGGTCCAGAATATAAACAAGAAAGACATCTGCATGGGCACTCAAAAATGACATTTCCTCTAGTCATTAGTCACGTCTCAAGGCCCTACTTATTTTCTTTTGCTTTACACTTTGATTTTTATTTTACAAAAAAATATAAGATTTACTGTTATGCCAGGACTACAGCATTAGTGTAAAAAATGGGTTTATAAATATTATTGGTGCACTTGTATAAGAATATTAGACTCACCAGTTGACGTGTAGTTGCAGCTTGGCACGATTGTTTACTTTGAAGTTTGGTATAAATCGAACATTTCTGCTACTTTGAGCTCAATTTCAAGGCACCTTTCTTTGTAACAACCAGTCAATAATCACACTATTTATGTATTTATGTATTCCATTATATTAAAATGAGACCAAGAAAACATTGTATAACATCAATAAATACCATACGTCAATATACACTGCAAAGTCGGCTGATTATTAAAAAAAAATGGTCAAAGTTTTTTTTTTCTCATTATGCTCTGTATCGTGCTGCAGGATTTTTTTAGGATCTGTTGCACACTGACCACATAGACCATTCTTTCATATGTAGGATACAGCTTTCTCTCATAGGTTTGTGGCCGCTTGAATGTATGACTTACTAGTACGTGAAAAACCCCTGCGCACGTATGAAGTACTAGTACGACGAAACCCTCCAAAGGCGTTTAAATTAAACGTATATCAGAAAAGTAAACTGGAATATGATAAAAATTTGCTGTTTTATTGTATTTTGAGTTTAGCAAGAAGAGACATTACTATTTTATGGAACATTCTCAGCATCAGTTTCATTTACTGTCTTGCAAAGTTTTGTCTATTACTTGAAATTGCCTTATTTAATTAGATTCAAATTTTCAACACTAGTATCTTGGGCAAGATTTGTGGGGCTCTTTGCATGCATAGGTTCCCTATTTGGTGCTACATAAGCCATTCCCAGATTTTTGTTTCCATGTGACAGGTGGAGACGGGCTTTTATGATTAGCTTCAAAATTTCACCACTTGTGTATACTACTTTGAAGATGTTGGTATTTTTAATACAGTGTATAGATGTCATTTTGTCTTGATATAAGGAACTGGACCTATCTTTCCCTTGCATTCAATTGAGTTTGAATGCCTCCTATTCCACAGGTGCTATATTACTCCTGTGTGTTTGCACTTTCCTATGGTTAAAATACAACATTTGTGAATGGTATCAATCTTTAATGGCTGAGGCTTTGTGTGAAATTGGAAGATTTTCATGGGTTTAGTCTATGTAAGCACAGTTTTTTTTTTTTTTTTTTTTTTTTTTGGGGGGGGGGGGCTCTATGTAATAACTGGAAAATTAATTTTCTGGCTAGCTTTAAACTTTGTGCTGCATTTTCCTCAAATGAGACAGTATGTTAATGTTAGCTTGTGTAAGTTGTCATACACTTGAATGCTATATGCTTTAGTTTACATAAAACTTACTTGGGATATTGAACTTTTTGATCTCTTTGAAAGTGTTGAATTGAATTTGGTCTGTGTATTATCTATATTTAATGAAGAAATTTGTATATTAGTTTCCTTATTACCTGTGAATGCCTCTTCTGATTCCCTTCAAATTTTCAACACTAATATTTAATTGCATTATCAACCTATGCCTGACTGCACAATACCATTGTGATTTCAGGCAATGGGGACTGGAGTTATGGAACATGGCTGTACCTTTGAGTGATGCAGAGACCAAAATATGTCTACTGTAGTTTAGTTTTAGTATTTTGACCTCTTGTTCACCCATTTGATAGTGGTAACTATTTGTGAGTACAGTACGGCCCCACTTGTATGGCAGGTTAGGTTCTAGGCTACCGCCGGAAAGCAGAACGCCAATTTTTTCACTTGTAAATGCATACAAATGCCAGATAACAAGTTTACACTAACATATATTAAGCTAACAGTAGAACTAGGCATTAAAAAAGCAATAAAAAGTAAAATACACAGTACATTCATTTTTTTGTTTTTATTTATTTATTAATTTGAACATGATACAGAGAAGTACAAGGAATACAATTTTTGAAGTGCAACATGCCAAAGCCCCTTGTATGCAGAGCATTATGGGCAGGCTTAAAATTTACTTAAGATTAACTAAGCAATGATATATTCAGTGGTACAAAAATTATTGTAAAACAGATAACAATTTAGTACAAATGAGTATTACAAAGACAGGTTATATGGTCATTTACTGTGTTGCTGTGTAATCAGTAGAATGGAGTATTCTGTTAGGTAATGAAGTTAAATAGTAACAAAGTTTGATTGGGTCACAGGTTGACATTTATGAGATACAGTAATGAGATACAATGTGATACAATTATTCAGTATTTTAGTTGTGGGTGAGTATAAGTGATTTTTGAGAAGAGACTTGAATTTATAAACAGACAGTGTTTCTTTTATATTCACAGGTAATGAATTCCAGATTTTAGGGCCTTCTATGTGCATTGAGTTTTTGCATAGCGTGAGATGGACACGAGGAACATCAAAGAGTGATCTGTGCCTTGTGTTATGGTCATGTGTTCTGTTAAGGTTGGTAGGGAGAAGTTTGAGGGGAGGGTTTATGTCAGAGTTAAGTGTTCTATTATGTAGTAGGTGCAGTAATAAGTATGGATGTTTTGTATTGTGAGTAGGTTTAGAGTTTTGAATATTGGTGGAGTGTGTTGTCTGTAGTGGGAATTTATCATTATTCTGACTGCAGCCTTTTGTTGGGTAATTAATGGTCTGAGATGGTTTATTGTTGTTGAGCCCCATGCACAAATTCCATAGGTGAGATAGGGGTAAATAAGTGAGTGATATGGGGCCAGGAGGGTTGACTGTGGAGCATAGTACCGTATCTTCGATAGTATGCCTACGGTCTTGGAATTTTTTTTGGAAATTTATTGTATATGTGTTTGAAATTTGAGTCTATTATCAAGGTGGATTCCAAAGAATTTTCCCTCTGTGAGTTTTGTGATAGGTGATCTATTTATTATTATGTTTAGACACACATCTGCAGCTCTGTTACCAAACTGAATGTAGTAGGTTTTGTCAATGTTTAGAGTAAGTTTGTTGGTCCTCATCCAGGTTGATATTTTCTGTAATTCGGTATTTACAGTATTGGCTAGCATGACTGGGCTCGGGTGAGAGTAGACGTATGTAGTGTCATCTGCAAGTAGTGTGGGTTTGAGTAGTTGTGATGCATTTGGTAGGTCATTTATGTATATGAGAAAGAGAAGAGGGCCTAGGGCACTTCCCAGTGGGACACCAACTTACCTTAAAATATTTGTAGTTTTAATGTAGGGTCAAAGGTGAGTAGTATTTATTTGTAGGAAGTCGGGTGTGATTTTCTTTCACAATTCTTGGGAAAACCCTGTAGACTGATTCTACATAAAACAGGACAACAAGCAATAATTATAATAGGGTTAGAAAAGTGAGAGAAATATTGTACTAAGGATTACCATATGTTTATGTTGTCAATTCAGATTCTGTCCAGTATGGCAGACAAGTAAAATAACCCATGACATCACATTAAAAAACCTCAATCCCCTTCCCTATTCTTCTGCTGTTCTGGTATGTTACTCAACCATCATGGTTCTTAGGTGCCATGCATGCATTGTACATTTTATTATGGAAAGAACATTTTATAATTGGAACTCTTAATTGTTTTACTAATAACAGAGGTAGTGGTTGGCGCCCCACGTGCTATCTCTTATACACGAGAACACATTCCTGCTAACATTGGTGTTGCTGCTCAAAAACTGCTATAAGGTATTATTTGCTGGCTTGTCCATTAAAATATTCTTTTATTTTGAAATTTTGGTGAAGTAAACCAATTTTAACTCTTGGTGGAAATTATATTAATTCAGAAATTGTACTTTTAACTTTGTATATCGTAATGTTTTTGTATTTGTAAATGATCTGATCCATGTGTTTTCTACATTTTGTGAAGGTGCAAAGGGAGCCTTCATGGGGAGACTCCCCAGCCATGATAAAAGACTGTGGCGTGAGGTGGGTCATTCTGGGACACCCCAGAGAGAAGGAATGTCTTCAATGAGCCTGACCAGCTCATCAGTGAGAAAGTTGGACATTGCTCTTGAGGCTGGGCTAAAGGTGAGGTTCAACACTTAAAAATTGATGTTCAGTAATACAGTGGAACCTCAAAAATCGAACTTAATCATTCCAGGAGCTAGTTCTAAATTCGAAAAGTCTAAAATTCGAAGCAATTTTCCATAAGAAATAATGGAAATACAATTAATTCGTTCCAAAAACCCAAAAATATTCACACAAAAATACTTTTATAGAGATTAATTACAGTTTTACATACAAATACTATAGTTTTTAATTATGTATTGTAATACATATAAAATAACATTTTTACTTACCTTTATTGACAATTGGTGATGGCATCTGGAAGATAGGGAGGAGGAGAGAGGAAGTTGGGGTTAGTGTTTGGAAGGAGAAACCCCCTCCATGAGGACTTCAGGTAAAGCCCTCTCTGGGGTTACTTCCCCTTTTGTCTTTTAATGCCACTAGGACCAGCTTGAGTCACGGACCCCTGTCTCACAAAATAAACTCCACGTCCTCTGTTTCTGGTGGGCCTCTTTAACATTTCCCTAAATGGGACATGGTTCTGTCATGAAAATTGTTGCAAAGATGGCTTGTTTCAGCTTGCTCAGGGTGGTACTTCTGCACAAACATTTGGACATCATTCCACTTGGCACAAAAAACTTAATCTTTGAAGAAGGCACCTCATCCATCCCTATATTAACACCTTTCGCAACTCAGTTCCTTGATTTGTTCTTTCTTTGACAGGATAGAAACCCAAAGGTCGATTGTTTTTCCCCTACATCTGGCAAGCTCAACAAGTCTCGCACCACTTTATACTTCTGTATTATTTCCTTCTTCACATCTCTGGTGTTTCTCACTTTTTTTTCCGCAGGGGTACCACTAGCAAGTTTTTTTGGACCCTGGCAGCTTATTTCACAGTCCCACAACACTAAAACAACGAAATAATCGTAAAATGCGTGGAATGAGAGCACAGGTTTGTGTTCACTCAAGCTAACAAAGCTTTGATGCCCCAGGCGCCTGCGCGGGGATGTGGGGCAGAGTGGGTGGCACAGGTCCCCTACCCGGCGGTCTGAAAATAGGGCGCTTTTGATAATAGGGACACAGTTTGTCTGAAAATGGTCCTATTTCAAACTTTCGTATGTGATAGTTCAATTTTGAGGTTCCCCTGTATAAAACGTACTTAAATATTTATTTACATTTACAGATTTTTGGGTTAAACCAATAAAATTCATAATATTGTTAGAAAATATTTATTTACAGTATTTTATTATTACATTGTTAAAAAATTTGTTAGCACTAAAATCATTGCTACATAAATGAGAATGTCATGGTGCTGATGTACATAAGTTATTTTAGAACTGTTATAGGCCTGGAAATGTGTAATTAGTGCAATTATAATACCGCCTCTCCTCAGCGACATACTAGTTTACTGACACCTCGGACTTACAACAAGCTCTCTGACCAGTATGCATGCCTAAATGTATATTAGAGCTGATTTCCTGTATTCTATGTAGTACAATGTACAGTACACTACTGTATAAATATTTAAAAATATACCAGAAATGTTATAAATGGTGCAACGATAACATTAAAAAAAAAGTAAAGGTAGTTGACACAAGCCTATCACCATTATAGTATGCTCCTCACTTACCGATGAATTCATTTACAGACATGGTCTTAGGAACAGAACTCCATTGTTAAGTGAGGAGAGGCTGTAATGTACAATGCTGGTTGCTAATGTTCCATCAACAACTTTGAGGATTCATGATACCAAGACACTAAATATTCTCTCAACTTTTTTTTTTTTTTTTCCAGATACTTTATACTGTATAACTTATAGATGCTTTTGTATACATTTTGGAAAACGTTATTTTCACAAGAAAAATGCTGGCTAGTGTCTTGGGACTTAGGGGCTGGTCCATGGGCACTGTTCATGGACTTTCGAGTAGGGTACTATGCAGCCTGTGTTGCATAGTGCCCTCATTTTGAGAAAAATTGGATGCTTTGCTTTATGATGCATAATACTTTAGAACATAAGAAAGAAGGAACACTGCAGCAGGCCTACTGACCCATGCGAAGCAGGTCCATTCCCCCCCCCCTCGGATTAGTCCAGTGACCCACCTAGTCAGGTCACTTCCACTTACGGAAGGAGCAAGGCATCAGACCTAGTAGCACAAGCTAGTCAGGTCCAACTCGCACCCACCCACACCCACTCATGTATTTATCTAACCTATTTTTAAAACTACACAACATTTTAGCCTCTATAACTGTACTCAGGAGTTTGTTCCACTCATCCACAACTCTATTACCAAACCAGTGCTTTCCTATATCCTTCCTGAATCTGAATTTTCCCAACTTGAAACCATTGCTGCAAGTCCTGTCTTGGCTGGAAACTCTCAGCATGCTATTTACATCTTCTTTATTCCTGTTTTCCATTTATACACCTCGATCATATCTTCCCAAATTCTGTCCCTTTCAAGAGTGCAGTTTAAAGGCCCTCACTCACCCTCTTGGGGAAAGATTTCTGATAATGGGATCAAATTGTAACCCTTTTGTAACATTTTCCAGTGCTTTTATATCATTCTGAAATTTACGGTGACCAAAAACTGGGGGATATATAGATTTAAAAGTAAAAACCTGGGGACTTCTTTATTTATATTTAAATAAAAAGCCAAGGATTCTGTTACTTTATTGCGAACACTAATGCACGTTGTCTTGTTTTTAAGATTATTCCCAAAACCAGAACCCCTAAACCCTTTTTTGGGCAATCATTTAAAAAATTAAAAGTTTAACATTTTTTTGTTTTTTATGGGGGCATGGTTATTTTTCTTTTCCAAAACACTTAGAACTTTGCTTTTGTGTAAAATTAAAACTGCATCTGCCACTTCTCCGAACATTGCATCAGTCAAAAAAATTCATCCTGGAGTGCTTTTGGGTCCTTTAGAATAAATTTGGGCCCACCCTGTTTTGGTTTTTCTCAGCAAATTTCCCTTTATGTCGCTATTTTTTCCCTCGTCTGTTGTTTATGAAAATTTGTGAACAAAAACGGGCCCAAACACTGCCCCCTGCAGAACACCGTTGTGACGTCCCCCTTTCCTTTTGATTTCTCCCCTTTTTTATGCAAAACACACAAACTCCCTATTTGTCAGCCATCCCTCGAACCGGGGAAAAATTTTCCTTTTCCCCTGTCCCTTAAAGGTATCCTCAAAAGTCTTGATGTGGAACTCTATGAAAGCCTTACTGAAGTCCATATACACCTTTATATTTTATTACCCTGAAACTACCCCCCAAACACCTTAGTGAAAAAAAAAAATTAGGGAAATTCGTAAGGGCCGGAACGTCCCTTTGTAAAAACCCTTGCGAGATTTATTAATCCAAAACTGTGATTAAGTTGGGTATGAATTGAGAAATTTTTACGGGTTTAAACTTTTTTTTTGTATGGACGTAAGTATTCAGTACACTAAAAAAAAAATTTCAAATTGATGTGAATTATCAAGGGTTTGGATTTATATACCGGTAGGGCCCCCCTTTCAGTGTTTTTCTTTATGGCATTCCTCTAAAACGGACCCTTTAAATTATGACCAAAACTCGCTATACAGCTCCCCCCACCTGGGCTTGCCCCACCCCCTTTGTTTACTTTTTTCCCCTGAGTCCGTTTAAAATTTACTTTTCCATTTGTTTGGAAAAACTCCAAAAAAATTTTAAGTATTTTCAAAAGTTATTTCATATTTTTATTTTCTTGATAATTTTTATTATGTCTACCCTTTTCCCTTAAAAAAACTTGCCCCATTGGGCGGCAGCAGGGAACATTAAAATCAGTTGTGCCTTCCATGTACTCATTTTCTCTGTTTATTCTTTTATCTTGTTTACTTGCCTTAAACCCTACTTTAAAAGACAAAAAGATTTTAAGGTAAGTAAATTGAGTAAAAAAAAAAACCTTTTACAGGGTCCTCAATTATCGCCCTTTTAATCCTTTCCCTGGAAAGTGGGATATTATGAAAATAGATTTTTTTTTAATAAATTTTCCCTTTAAGAAAAAATGTAAATCCAATTAATTCGTTCAGACACCCAAAAAGTATCAAAAAAAAAACTTTTTTTTTTTTTTACCTAAAAGATAGATTTACATGCACAAAAGAATGAACATTCAACATGACAGTTACCCTTTTTTGAAGGGTTGTTGATGAATGGGAAAGGGGGCAGGGGGGGAGAGAAAAGGGAAAAAGGGGGGTTTTGTTTTGGAAGGGGAAAACCCCCTCCCATAAGGGTGTAGGTCACTTCAGGGGGGTCGCTTTTTCCCCAGATTTAAATTGATTTTACATGAGAAAAGAATCTAAAAAAAATGTTAAAAAACACTAATTAAAATGTTAAAATGAGCATTGGTTTTGTTGGGGTGTTGTGAGTGGAACGGTTCTGGGGCCCAGTGAGTGATCAAAACTAAAAAAAATTTGGGGAGTTTCAAAATTTAGGTTGGATAAATAAACCAAAATGGGGAGGGGTTGGATTTGAGGTCGGCTTGCACGAGCTTATTACTTGGGTGCATTTATTCGTTAGTGGGTTGGATCTGTGAAGGACCGGGGTAGTATGGGCCAACGGCTTATTGCAGTGTTTTCCTTTTTATGTTTTTTAAAAGTATGCTTGGGTGTTTTTAAATTTAGGTGGATAAATAAGGTGAGGGGGTTGGATTGGTTTGGGGGCTTGCACCTGAGCTTATTGCTTGGGAGCATTTGTTCTGTTGTGGGTTGGATTTTTTTTAAGGGCCTCCCTAGTATGGGCCAGCAGGGGCCCACTTGGGGGCCCATACTTGAACCATTATTTTACAGCCTACTGCGTGTTCCTCCTTTCTTATGTTTTTATTAAAACTTCGTTGTGTGAGGAAGGGGGTGGCAAGTTTGTTGGGAATGACACAAAAATTTACAACTAAAAAATGACATAATAAACAAAATTAATTTTAAAATAGAAACATAGAATATACTCTAGAATGAAAAAAATTTTAAATATTACGTATGTCACGAGAGGTGCTGTGTTATTGTGTATATAAGGGC